CCAATTATCAGTGTCACATGATATATTAAATCACGTGATTATAATGCTAGCGCCATAATGCTATGGCTTCAAATTATAAAACTCTTAATATAAAACTAAAAAAAAATCAAAAAAATCAAAAAAAAAAAAAATAACGGGGAGGGGGGGGGACGAATAAAAAAAAATGTATAAATAAAAACTAAAAAAAAAGTAAAAAAAAAAATGAAATTAAAAATAATAATAAAAAAAGAAACGGGGACGAATAAGAATAAAAAAATTAAAAAAAGTAAAATTAAAAAGATCGGAGGGGATAAAAAAATACTCGATTAATCGAATCTTGAGAAATGATAATCGCAAAAATCGATTCTCAAATAATCATACCTAGTAGTGACGAAGTCACCGCACACCAACCTAATCTAGTTAACATTAAATAAAAGAAGTTTAATTCTCACAAATTTTATTTTGAAATAGAACAAAAGAGGAACGAAATACATACATTACAGAAACTTTGTTTCCTTACTATTCAGTATCTGCATAGTACCTATTAGGCTGCGATTAAGGCTACTATTTTTACTATTTAGTCACTTTGCAGTTACTGCGTATTAAGAAAACCAAGTTTCTGTAAAGTAAATTTTGATCAGTCGTGACTCATTTGAAAATAGCGAATCGAATGCTTTTTTTTTTTTTAAAAAAAATAATGATTTGCATATTAAATTTTTTTAAATATAAAAAAAATGTCCTATAAAAACTTCTCATCGTTTCTATAAAATGTATCTTTTTTTATAGAAATATATTTTTTTTATTTATCAACATCACAATGTAGATTTGTTAACAACAATTCGCTTTTGTAAAAGAATTTAATCAACCAATAGGATTACTTCGCGTCTTTATCACATTTAAAATCTGCGAGCATTTAAAAAAAAAAAAAAAACACAAATATTTGAATTAAGTAAATAGGGAGGTAAGCTATTAAAATCACGTTACGGATCATATGATACTCGATTTTAATAGCAAACCTCAAATATTCATTCGATTAAGTAATTTTCTTTTTTATAGAAATGTTTATCCACAGCCTCCTCATATCACTGGTAACGAGTCAGTGAAGAAGGTTCTGAACGTTTCGAGGAATTACTTAAACCATATAGTTCACATAATTGCCCGATTTTGTGTTGATGAATCGAAGCTGTTTTGAGTAAACCTTAGAAGCGTAACGACATTTGCAAGGAAGTAACGACTGATTTATCAGTATCATCGATAATTTGGTTAGAATAGAAAATGATTGCAATTTGAGGATTAAATTTACTTAAGTAAAACGGCAAATGATTCTCGAAATTCTGAATAAAAGAAATAAAAGAAACCACCTATTGCTATAAAATTGTCTTTTTCCAAAACTTCGTCTCCAAGACACTTCTTACATCATGATTGTGCCACTATTTTTTGCTGTTCTTATCGTTATTTATACAATTTTAAAAATAAAATATTACGTTAGAAAATTTTACGTTAGTTAATAAAATTGTTTCGGTATTCAGGGTGAAGAATTTTTTCAATGTGCTATACGTATTAGAATTCTCCTTTTGAAATATATCTGTATAATGCCCTGTCGTACATCATTTTGGCATGAATTAAAGATATTTTTTTTTTAAAAAAAAAAAAAAAAATGTACTGCGCATTTATTTCGATCGAAGGTCTCGTTGAAGTAACTTTGTTAATAAATTAAATACTAAATGCAAAATACAAAGGTATAGTAAAGTAAAACAGGTAAACCACTAACTTTACATGTTATCATGCACCCTCGTTATTCCAATATTTACACACTTACCCATGAAGTAGCGAACATCCTTAGTGCCCTATCAATTTAGAACATTTGAAAATTAAATTCACATGATCACCAAAGTATCACGGGATTAGTAATATTTAAGCTGATCGATAAATCACATTTTTGTTTACGTTAAAATTGATCTCTCATTCTTGCTTCACGTTTATTTCAAGCCGCAACATTATGTTTGAATTAATTAAACATTTCTCGGGGAATTGTATAATGATCTTTATCGAATTTTTTCGTTTCTTCATTTGGAGTAACTATCAAATATTTTTAAATTCATCAAATCAACCGTATCTATACTAAAGCACTAAATATTTTAGGACCATTTGTTCGAACTTTATTCGGGATGAAATTCTTAAGAGCAAATGGTGCGTTTTATTATTTTAGAAATTATTTTAAAAGTTGTTCTATATTCAACACATTTTAAGGCTTGACGTAAACTACGATCATTATATTGATACGGATAATCTGCGAATTTATATGTTAGGAATTTCTCGAGGTTTTGTAGAAATCGATGATGACCTTCTATTAGCTTATGACCTTGGATACAAGACAGTAGTTTTCAAAATATATGAAATTCCAAATTTATTACATATATTCTTCGATCAAGGAAACGCACAATTTGTGATTAATCAAATGTATTATAAGGATTCTGATATTTTGGAGATTAATTTCGTTAATTTTACCCCACTTATTGTAAATTTCAAGAAAACCGAGGTGGAGGATATTGAGGTGGGAATGGATCACGCCGGAAAACTTGTTTGTTTACACGTGTAATTTTAAGAAAAATGTGTTTATGTTGAAGTCGTTATCAAAAGAAGAGAGGGATGAAAGTTTAAATCGTTCGATAGAGATAATGAAAGATAGAGAGAAATTGCGCGCGTAAGGAAATGGAAATGAAAATGAAACTTTAAAATGCAAGGAATTCAAGAAAAAGGTTTTTTTGAACGTGTCACTTTAAGAATATTTTCGGCACTTAAACATTTTTAAATATGACATTTTTTTCATTTAAAAATTCTTCATAGTTTCGAAAGACATGACACCCTTTACATTGTTGATTAAACATAATGGCGCAGCAATTGCTTCAAATGAACTAAAAACTATATATATACTAAAGTTATTGCCTAATTAAACTAATTTTCGTTGGGCAGACGAGTGAGCTTATATTAAATCGATATTATCATTGTTTTTTTTTTTTTAAATATAAAACATGATACTCTAATATCATTATTAAGAACGACTTTTATCATCAAGAGAACGATATAGAATTCATTCAAATGAACTATGATAAATCATTTCATACAGAAAATCTCATTCACTGTCCTAATGAACGTTAGTTGAATAAAATTATTTTTACGAATGGAGTAGTACTAATCCTAAAAGACCGTACCGTTTACATGTAATATGTTTATTAGAAAACAAAAGCAAACGATAATAAAAAATAAATTAAGAATAGAATATCAACTTTAATAATTAGTCCGGAACGAAGTGAAGGACTATATATGTTTTAGCCACTTTGATGTCCCAATGTCCGCCCGCAATTGCACAAAAGTCTAGATAAAACAAATACCGGTGTGAATTTTTTAGTTAAGATCGTTCCGGACTTAACAACGGTTCCTGTTCCCTAGTATATATTATGCATTCATATTTAATAATAACAATATATATATTTCAGTTTAGGATAAGATTATATTCATTTTTTAGTGATAATTTGAAGCCATAGCATTATGGCGCTAGCATTATAATCACGTGATTTAATATATCATGTGACACTGATAATTGG